CTCTATACAGAATATTTAATGTCATTTTTCTTTTAACACCATCTTTATCAACTGTCTTTGTCAACATTAAGGTTAAAATTTCTTTACTGAATCATAAATGCAATCGACATTACAATGCAATATATTTAGTTACTTTATCTTTAAGCTATCTCATCACATTCTGTATTATTACAGAAAAGTAAGAAGTCTTATTGCCATGTGTGGTTCTAGACTGGGGTCAGCAGGGACCAGTTCCGCTGTAGAACTGGTCCTTCTCTCTCCAAAATATGCATACCCGTTCAGATGGGTCAGAGTCTGAACGAGGGGTTTCAAGTTTTAACACCAAGTTTGTTTTTGAAAAATCACAACCTTTGCATGAACTTTGTTTCCTGCAACTCTCATCCATTTTCAGAGTGTATAGTGAAAGCAGTGGAGCTAAACTGAGTGAAACTGAAGCTAAATAGACAATCACTAGAAAAGGGGCATTTGCAGCAAATTTATTTTATATGGGAGCAAAACAAATTTCATGGCATGTGAATATTATTCTCCATGGAAAACGTTTAAAGACTTAACGGTTATATCTCATGCAATAAAGATGGGCTGCATTTTGAACAGAGGGCCTTGAAATGAGGTTAAAGGGAGTGATAAACAATGAGGTAAGGAAGTTCTAACCCTTTACAGAGTTAAATTTCACCAACGATCAGTCGTTAGATTTGTGGTCCCCCTTTAGCATGTGAAAAACAAGTAATGGGTGTCATCTGCAAAAAGGTGCTGCTTATTAGCATTGATTTTGTTTACTGTCAGCCGGATTTAAATGGGTCTTTTGAAAAGAGAAACTGTTTATTGACTCCCCCAAACATTTTATTTCTATCTTATCTTATTTTTATTCATTTTAAATGGATGGAGCAGAGCATAACAAGATTGTCAGGTATAACGCCACAGTGTACATCCCGCATCTTTCTTGCACGATTATTAATTCTTCCTTTGTTGGAAAGCAACTAAAAACAACATTAATGCAAAGGTAGCATGTTGTAATATTTCTATAAATGTCTGCTTAAAGTTACCACCAAATTATCTTTGACATGTTTTCCCAACATTATTTGGTTAATGTTTGCTTTATGTCCTTTAGAAAGTAAATATCTTAAATATAACTGTGTATTTCATGGATTTTGGAGATTTAGATACAGTATGACCAAGGAAAATATGTGTAAAGCTAAGGAAGCAGATTAAGAAATTTTATAACAGCTCTTCTGGGTCTCAGAGTGGTCAAGCACAACTAAGGCAAGACAAGTTTATTTCTATGGCACATTTCAAAGGTAAGACTATTCCAAATCCAAAGCAGTGCTGTGTGTGAAAAAAAACCAAAACAGTAATATAGAGCAACACGAATAGTGAAAAAGAAATGTGGCAGATAAAAAAGGGGGCTTAATGATAAAATGATTGAGAAAGTGGAATGAATATTAGACTGGAAACGTAACTAATAATGGTTCACTATCTCAGTCAGCGGTCCCTCTCGACAAATATGCTTTAATCTGGATTTAAAGCAACTGAGGGTTTTGTGTTACCAGGAGTTCCCCTCTCAGTCAAAAGTGTTGATGATTGTCCAAAAATGCAACGCACACTAACTGAAATAAAGACTGTTTTACGTAATCTTTTAATTTGAGCATTAAAAGTTTTTATTTTTTTATGCTTTCCATCTCAAAATAAAACAAAATTTATATTTTGCCAAGAAGTTAGTAAGGAATTGAAATAAATACTAAATAAAATCCTATTATAAACCCAGATTTATTAAACTGGAGCTTCTCTGAGTAACTCCCTTATAAGCACATTTAATCCTGATTAATTGGGAACAAAATGCTGAACAAAAAATATAATCAGACTAACTTAATTAGTGTTACTTTGTTTTCATCAAAACACCTGAGCTGCTTTGATGAGCTCCGATGGTTCAGCTGATACCAGACTGTTCTCTACATCCAGTCTGTTCCTCTGCTTGGTTTGGATGTGTGTCACAACTGAAGGTGAACTCAAACATAATGAGAAAAACTTACTTTTTGTTTGATAAAAGCTATTTTATTTTACTATCTAAGAAATAAAATATTTTCACGTACCACTTGCAGTGCATTTAAACCACTAGAGGTACGGGTATCCCCGGTTAGGAAACACTGATCTAGACCTGGAAAAAAATCTAGCTGTTCTCACTTCTCCTCTGATTGCCTCACTTACTTCCTCTGTTCTCAGCTCTTCCTCTCACATTTACTAAACAGTCAGCTGTAGCACGCTCCTTGTGAAATCCAGCCAATATGCACCATTTTCTGCTCTGTTTTCATTTTGCCCCTTTTCTTCTTAAATGTTTTGTTATAGGTTTATTTTTAGTAAAATTATCTTCATTTCAGAGCTCTGCTTGCACTCTGATTATTCTAAACTCCTCAAGCTCTGACATAATCAAGCTTAATGGGTTTCTACCATGACCGACTGGGGATTTTAGAAGAAAGAGCAGAAACACAAATGACAGAGATGCATTAGTCCAAAAGCACTTTCTATATGATTTAAAAGAAAGAAGTTAATAGAAGGTCCATTCAGGACCTAGAAGCTAAACCAATGTTGCATCTCCTATGTTACATTAACATACAGTCTACTGTGTATATAGCTTTATACTATATATTGTATATTTTATATGGTATAGATTCTGTATTCTGTATACATATCTATTTTGTCTTCACCGTCTGATTCTGATTCTAAAGTAGTCCTTCTTTAGTGGTTTCATCGTGTGAACAGGATGGAATCAGCATGAGGAAAAAGCAAAACGTTTAATTAATTGCAAGTAATGCAAAAAATTGGAAAACAGTAGAAGAAAAGGGGTCATCATGTCCTTCAGCAGCCTAAATCTATAACAGCATTTCTATAGATATAGCTCAGGATAGTTTCACAGAACAGTTAGAAAGTAGGTTTTTTACTAACATTTTTTTTATAGTGTTCAATCCTTACAACTGTAGACTGATTTGTGCACAGTCAGCTCTTTTAATCCCACTGGGATGTCAACAAAATGAGGAAATACAAAGAGACTTACATGTGAGATCTGTGTTTTAGGTTCAAGCTCCTGTTTTAGCACTCATAGTTATAAGGAGAGTTTAAGAAGGTTTCATCCAGGCTTAAAGTGAAGGCACCCAGGTATCTGTCATCTGTGGGGCTATTGTTATTTGACACAACTTGTAAACAACTGTGGTATTAAGAGAATGTGCACCATGTATTCTTGGGAGAACATATTAGAATGCAGATGGTATGCATGTCCGAGGGTTGGTTTGTGTTTCTCCTCTTCAGATCCAATACGCAGATTGAGTGAAGGCCATTTTATTTGTACTATTTAAGAAAATTTCCTAATGCAGAAAGTTTTAAATCTAGTCTTAGGCAGGGTGTTTGCCTCACATGCTAAAACCTGGTGTTGACAAACAGGAGATAAGCCTAAAAACAAAAAAGATCTGCCTGTGAACCACTAAACATGCAGTTTGAAAGTGTTCCATTAGGAACATAATTGACAATTAGATCGTTGATGATCGTTTTGTATATAAGAGGGAAACTTGTTGGGGGATTTTGGATTTAAGAAGGAACCAAGGATGCTAGAAAAAAAAAATTTCTCTATATGATTATTATCAAAACCTTTGCTGCAGCGTTTGATAAGCTTAAAGCATTTAACTATGTTTTGTGGACTTACTGATTGTAAAGAAATAAATAGTCCAGCCTTGATGTAAGAAATGCATTATTTCTGATTTTAACTATATTTTAGAAATGAAGAAGGAAATCCTAGGCCTCTTAACCCATCCACTTGTGGAGCAGTGGGCTGCCACCGTGTGGCGCATGGTGCGATTTGTGGGCTTAAGGGTCTTGCTCAGAGACTCAGAGTGGCAGTCTGTGGGAGTGGGGCTTGAACTCAGAACCTCTGGATTCCAAGCTCTATGCAGCTGCCTCTCACCCATGTAATATAAACATAATTCCTGCTCTCATCTCTACATCTAATCCTAAAACACAATTTAAAAAAGAAAAAACACCAAACACAGTTTTCATGATTTTTGCAAAATTTTCATTTGAAAAATGTGGGAACGTTCCACAAAACATTCAAGAAAAATTGTAACTTGCAGCAAAAAAAGTCTGAAGGATTGAATCCTGGTTTGGGTCTTTTTTTGTAAAGTGTAATTTTTTTCTGGGTTCTCTAGAGCATCTAAAAACATAAATGTTTGGTGATCTCATCCCAGTGTTGGTTTGTGATGGACTGGGACCTTTAAAGAGTATAGCCTTCCTTCTGCTCATCAGTTGTGCGATACCAGGCTACCTTGTGTGGCATCAATTTTGTTCCATTATTGGTGTAAATCCTAATCAAATTTTGAAAAAAAAAAAAAAAAAAAATGCAATCAAGAACTGAACCTTTGAAATATTTCTGACTCAAAATGGGCTTTTGAGAGCAGTTTTATTTTCTCTGATTATATTTTTACAAATTTTGTTTTTTCAAATTTAGAGTTTTAGAAAGTGCATTCTTTCTTAATTGTTTTATAGATCACATTCTGTTCTCTTCAAGCTCAAAACAAAACACTAAAAATTTTGCCAACATGAATGCAGACCGATAGGAATGCGGTTTCGGTCCTTGCTCCAGAGGAAAGTGCTCCCAAGAAGTGAAATGAAATCTTTAAAACAAAATTAGAAAAGAATATAATTCATTACACTCATTCTGAAATAGAGAAATCGTATTAAAATAATATAAAAAAAATATGGAAAAAATTTATAAAAAATTTATTATTCCAGAAAACAGACAAGATCCTTTCAAAGCCTTTTTATATCAATATGTCTTTCCTACTTTCATTTTTGGATGGAATTTTTTTCATGTTCTTTGCAACAATGATGGAACAAAATGCACTCCATACATGTGACGCTTTTACTAGATATAAGGACTGAAAGAAAGAAACGACTTTGATAACTTATGTCAAAACACGTTTGTAATTAAAAAAAACCCACAAAAACTAAATTTTAAAAAATTAAAATAAAAAATAAAAAAGCTTAGCATATTTCATTCAAAACAACATTAATGTCAGATCAAAATGAGCAACAACAGCAACAAAACAAGAGCAGTTGATTAAAAAGTGACAAAGTCCACCTGTTAAAAAGCCAAACAAAGCGTTTTGCCTGCTTCTCTCTATCTTTAATGCATGGAGCATCTTTTAGTGTGACTGGATCACTGCAGATCAAACCTGTCCTCCTCATAAAAAATGAGAAACACAGCACCTAAGAAAGGAAAAATAAAACAGATTGAATTCCTTCTACTATAATATATGAGCTTTCACATAAAGCATCTATAGAACGATACTCACAAGAAGCCTTTGCCACAGCCCAGAGGTCCAAAGAACAGCTCTGTTGGAAGGCAAACCTTCCTGCACACTCCGCTGAGGCTGGGACAGGACCAAGGAAATGATGCTGCTTCATTTTCAACAACTGTGAACAAAACCCAGCAATTTTCTATGAGTCTTTGCAATAAAAAGAAAAACATCCTAAAAGTCCACAGATGAGCCGAGAACTATGAGGATCTGCAAAAACAAAACTCACCATGAAGAAGTAAGAGCACTAAGATAAAGAAGGCTGCTATACGATAGGAGAGCATGGTTATGTTTGACAGCGTTGCTCCAGAATGATGGTTTGTCCTGGATCTGTGCAGTTTTACCCAGAAAGCAGGAGGGAAGTTAATATGAAGCAGCAAACTGGTCACCAGATTTTTGTATTAGAGCTTCACAAGAAGCCTTTAGAGAACATACCTCTCTAAATTACATCAAGAAAACTTCATCAGCGTTTTACACCCGTGATCCAAGTGCTGTCATGGGACAAGATACTGAAATGTACCCCATCCCCCTTCCAAAAAAAATGCAGTTAAATCTGATTTGAAACTCATGCACATTCTTAGTGGCTCTCGCATCCTGGAGGACACAAGCTTCCCTTCTTTTTGGAAATTGGCATGGCCTTAAAAACTCTCACTGCAGCTGAAACTTCTGTGAAAGAGTCCACATTGCTTTCCAAAAAAGTGTCATTATTCACATTAAATCGATCGGCATGTTGTCCTGTTAGAGAAAAAGCTAAAGATCACCAAGAATGAGCCATAAAGTATCCCTGTTACATTACAAAGATGAGCCTCCATAGATTATTTATATGATTTTATGTGTTCAACAGGAGGTAGAGCATATTTCTGGGTTATGGCCTCAGATAGTTCTTACGGTTAAATTTATATATTTTAAACTATTTTTAGACTAAAAAAAAAACAGAAATGGTTCAATGTGGCCCCTTGACTGTATTGTGTAAATAATGGTTGAAAAAAGGTACAACACAAGCCTGTTCGTTACTCCAAGTCTGCTTCTAGCAGCCTGATTAGGCTTATATTTCATCACATTTTTTGGAGGTAAATGTATCTAAGAAGCTAAATCTGGTACCTTATGTTTTCAATCTTAAAAAAACTTGTGCCATCGACACAGGACACATCAACAACATCCAGTAGATGTTGTTTTCATGGTAAACTATGAACAGGATTTTTTAAATTTTTTATCAAAATATCCTGCAGGACTCTGTAGTGTTTTTTTTCCTCTCTTTATATCATGGACTCTCCACAAGTTACTGAAGGAGAGTTGAACATAGTGCTGACAGAGGCAGCCTTGTAAGTTGAAGAAAAATAAAGCTTACATCCAGATATGGAAATCATCATTGCAAAGAGGAAAACAGTGAAAAATGAAACTGACCAGCTTAAATATTCAAAGCTGGAGGGGAAATCTGATTAAAGAGAGCAGGTGGAATGAATGAGGCTGATTAGGACGCAAAGGCTTATTGAAACGTCTATTTTAAATTAATCTACACTGTACTAACAGGAAAATGAGTGAAAACAAATATTTTCCAAATAAATCAGGGAAGACAGGTTAAATTTCCCCTTAAGATCTCGCTATTAAATATACACCCATGTTTACTCCTGCTAAATTACAATTCAATCTGAAAAACTCACATGAAGAGAAAAGACAATTAGGAGAAATTTATTGATACAATTACTTTGTATTTGGCGCTCAGACCTCAGCAGGAAACATAGTGCTAAATTTTAATAGATATGCATAAACAGGAGTAAAGAATAGGGCTGTGTCCCCCCCAGGCCTGAAACTGGTGGTGGAATGGAGATAGATGAAGTTGGTCAGTCTGTAGACGGCTGGTTAGCGAGACGGTCTGCTGAGCTTTATGGGGAGATCCAGTTGATTGCATGAGCTGATACTAGAGCTTCACTCAGGGACCTGGAAGATGGAAGTCCAGCTTGGGTAACACAGGCTGAGAGAACCTGTCCATGATGAGCAAGCATGAAGCGACAGTGGAGAGGAAAAACTCCCCATTGGTAAGAAACCTCTGGCAGAACCGGAGGCCTTTTAAGATGAACTTCCAGAGAAAGAAAATGTCCACTATATCTTTAATCATTTGAGGTTCTGAATATTGATATATGCATAAATGAATACATACATTAAATGGTTGGGTGGGCTTCAGATCTAACAGACAAAAACTGAGATCTTATCTTAGTATGGCTGAACTTTAAAGTAACTCATTATTTCTAAATAATTGTTAAAGGAAATTGTCTTAACCAAATATTAAATTGGTTCAAGGAACAAATCAGCAGCACTCTCACATCTTATGATTCCATATTATCATAAAAAATAGATTTAGAGCTAAAATGAAATAACAGATCTAAAAAAATATTTTTTATAATAAGAACTGCAGCTTAATTTGAGCAGGTAAATAGGCTGTGGTCCGTTTCACAAAGCAGGTTTAACAAACTCAGATTCAAATCCTTAATTCTGAATTGAGCTGGATTAATTTCGAGATTGAACAAACTCTCTTGGTGAAACGGAAAAGGCTGAGTTTCCCAGTTTTCAGGTTTAGAAACGTATTCGGTAAACCTGTTTCATGAAACCGACCCTTGACCTACCAAAGGAATGAGTGTTTCTGCTCTTAAAGTAGGATAATTAGATTATATGCACTTGAAATAAGAAAACAGAGATGTTTTTTTTCTATTAATTGTAAACATTAATCATTTTAATCCAACTACAAATTGTCTTTCCTCCTTAAATCAAAGGGAAATAAACACATCAAGATACATTTTTGACCCCTAACGAGAGCGGATTGTTCGTAAACTGTAACTTAATCCAACACAGATGTTGCAAAAACAGTCTAATTTGTGAAATCCAATTTGATAAGAATTTGACACAACCTAAGGGTCAATGGCCTTAGAGAGAGTTTCATCTGTGTTGCATCAGTATTTTTTTAAAGGGATATCATTAATGGTTGTCTCCAGACTTATCCGAATTCACCAGGTATTGTCCTAATAGGCGTCCCAGTTGTGTTAATTCGTTTCTAAAGGAATAATGGCACACAGTGACTAATGGTCACTCATTTATAATTTGGCCTGGATGCATTTGCTCTTAAGCATTGAGGGGTTTTGGTGGAAAATTACTTAATGGTGAACTAAAGTGATGAACAGGTATTTAAATGCCCAAGTTTGTCCCAGCGTGACTTGTTAACAATAGGGTCAAGTTTGTTCAACTTTCCTTCAATGAAAAGCCGAGGGGTAAAAAAAGTTTGCATTTATTATATTATAATATGATATGCAGTTAAGAATGCAATAATATGGATCAGAGTTTTCTGTTTTAAGCCTTTTTAACTTTTTGCATAAAATTTCATTTGAATTTAATGAAACAAAAAATATTCCTTTTGTAAACAACTTTAATAAGTGGAATCAGTGGAAAAGGGCTGAAAGTTCATTACTTTTAACCTTTTTTATGGTCCAGAATATTGTTGACCAATTTCAAGGCAGTTTAATTAAGGAAATGCAAGGTTTTTTTTTATATAGCACAATTCAGTACAAAGAAGATTCAAAGTGCTTTACTGAATGAAAAGATAAAATTTAAGCAAAATAAAAGCAAATAAGGATAAAAAAAAACAAGATAAAATCAGGTAGTAAAGCTAATAAACAGTTGGACCACAAACTTAAACCTATCATACCTCAATTAACTTTAACAGTCAAAGGCAGCTCTAAACTAATGGGTTTTTAACTTTGACCTAGAAGAACTCAGGCTTTCACCTCTTTTCCAGTCTTCTGGGAGTTTGTTCCAGATCAGTGGAGCATAGAAGCTGCTTCTACATGTTTGCTTCTAGTTCTTGGTGGACAGAGTAGGCTGGAACTAGAAGACCTGTGGTCCGTTTCAGGTTTACTGAAACCTCAAACTTTTCTAAAGCTGAAATCAGAAAAAGTTTTCTGTTTCCCAAAGTGAGTTTCCTCCACCCCTGTTTCTGTTTATTAAATATAGTAGAGCTGGTCCTTCATACCGCAGGGGGTCTCCCTTTATTCCTCCAAGCTTGAGTCCTCTACCAGAAGCCTGGGAGCTTGAGATTTCTGTGCAATATCTTTGATGTTTCTAGAAATACACTTTTCTGGACCAAGATGTCTGATGTATTTCCAGGGAGCTGCATTTTACATCTTAGATTTACATTTTAGGTCTACATTTTTTTGTTAATATACAACATTTTTATATAAACATATAAAAAATGTTAAAGTGTTAATAAACTCTGTTTCTAATATAAAAGAGACGACCCTCAGTGACAGATGATTTAATTTTAATTACTATAATTATTGTGTCTAAGGTTAGGATTAGTAGTTCAGTAAATAAACCACAAACTAATCTGCTAAGATGATGTAATGTTTCATTGGGCATGTTTTGATCTCAAAGGACCTAAACTAGACCCGCTGTGCTGAGAAGTTATTGGTGAGCAGGTATGAAGTACATGACTGTCTCTCACAAGAGAACAAATATAAAGCTGTTATTTTCCTGCTCTGTGCACTTACATGCCGCTCAGACTCATACGTCTAAACTCAGATTAGTTTTAGCATGAATTTCACTCTGGTTACATCTTTTTATATACCTCCCCTACAGGGGAGGGCAATAATCATCTTAAAGTATCAGCAATATAAATCCTAAGCTGGCTGGGAATTGAAAAGAACATAAAATCACAACAACAATGCTGTACCAAATATCGAGAGCATGCACAAGCCCATTTCTCCTCGTGCCCGCTCTGTTTAAAAGTTGCTGTTCTCATCGCTCATATAGAAGTTCCACTTCTGGGTCCAGTTTTGAATTGCATCCTTCAAAAACAGAAGATTGAAAAAGAGGCTTGCTTCCTTACATTTCTGATTTGATAAAAATAGTGCTATACAAAAGGCACATTTAATGATCACAATTAAAGGGACTGTCAAATATAATTTAATATAAGAAAATAATTTCTTAGATTCATATTTTATTTTAACTTAGGTAAATAAAATATGAAGTTTTCAAGTTACTGAACATTTCCCTGACCGAGGGCTTCACCAGACATTCCCAGCAGACCCTCACTACTTGGTTGGGTATGCCAAGTCTGTCTGGACTCCTCTTCTTCCAGCGTATCCAGCTGGTGATTGGGGGACAGCTCCGCTCCTCTCTCCACCTGAGTGTCCAGGACATGTGGCTGAAAATCAGAAGACACAATTACAAAGTCAATCATCGACCTCCAGTCTAGGGTGTCCTGGTGCCAAGTGACAATTCCCATGCCTGAACATGACGTTCAATATGGATAGTCTGTGACTTGCAAAAAAGTAACATAATGAAACCTTTGTTTCCCATATGGATGTCAAAGCCCCCAGCAAGAATGATGAAATCCCCAGG